TGAAAACAATTAGTTAGAAGATTCAAATATGATGATACTGCTGTAAAAAATTTGGACATTTTAGTAAAATAGTAAGTAATTTGAGTTCTTACATTATTTTATTGTTTCCACATAAATTATTTATGTCCTGACTTTATTATTTTTTGGGCCAAATAAAATTCTTTTTTTTAGATGTGTCAGTAAAACCGTTCTCTTCGTGCTGTTTCTGAGACGACAGCCTTGAAAAATTTCAGGCCGCGTGCCGACTCAAGCACGCGCGTGCGAGGCACTAGTTTTTCATTCGACGGATTAGTTCCGTATCGGCGGAATGATCTGTCACGATCTTCTCCTCGGATTCGAGAGACGAACAGGGATGCACAGGAAGGCGGGCAAAAATTCTGGCGGGCAACCCGCACGCCGTGGTGCCGTGCGACGAATTAATTAGTTCGATCGTGCGGCACGTCTTGAATGAAAAGCCGGGCGTTACATGCGCGCACGCCGAGGTTATTGCACGACGGCACTCTACGGCCGTTACGTGCCTCGCGTGAAATTACGTTATCGGACTAAATTAGCGCGATTCGATTCCGTCTTACGAAGTCGCGGCCGATTCGTCAAGCAGCGTGCACTTGTTTCCGATGTGTCCGCTGATATTCCGGAAGCGATCGCGTCCCGTTACATCAGTTTTATGTACGACGTGACTGTTTCGCTATTTATTCGACGTGATAAATTGCGAGTGTTACTGAATGAAGTAAACGTGCAGGTGTATTTTATTTAAAAAAAAAAAAAGAATTCAATTTTATTCTTAAGTAAATTTTGTACGACTAATGTTTTAAAAGAAGAATAATTTGTCGATTTGTTAAATACGTGCATTAAAAAACTTGTAATTAAGTCTACAAAAATTCCTACTGTGATCTTTCAGTGTTTTGTTCGATGAGATAGTGTTTTTTTTTATATTTACATAGAAAAACAATTTTACCGGAGTATCTAAAAATTTAACTAAATACAGATCCGCGAAAATAATTTTATCGAAGCATCAAAATAATTATTATGTAAACGCTCAAACTGGTTGCTAGAATGACGAAATTTTTTACATCATTGTTTACTATACTTGAGCTTCATAATAATTATTTTGATGATGCAACAGAATTACTTTCAGAACTGTATGTAGTCAATTTTTCGATATTTTAGCAAAACTGATTTTTCTGTGTAGGATTATTACTAGTAACATCTACGCCGCGTCGAGCGATCGTTCTTAATCGAGCGATACAACGAACGGGACGAAAGATTTGTCCACGCGTCTCGTCATTCCCCAATAAACCGTACACGACAGTGGGTTACCCTTGCAACCCTTGAGATCTCGATTCACCCCTGGCAAATCTGACCCGCACACATACACGAGTGTGCGACAGTGACGTGTCGCCGGGGTGTCCCATGGCATCGATTCTCCAGAGACGAGGAAGTCCAAGTTCTTTCCCGACACGATCGATCTTGGGAGGTGTATTTTCTTGCACGTGAAAAAAGATTATTCCGAACTTCGTCTCGATCTGATCTGTTGCAGCCATTCGTAATTATTCATTCCATTAATTGATATCTGCCAGCTTTTTTCCCCCAATCAGTTATCGGTAAATACATCTTAATTTATTCAATTGATTTGGTTTTACTTTTATATAAGTAAAATTTACGTATCTACCAATCTATACATTTATCTATTATTTATCGCAAAATTAGACGTTTGTACATATTTTTAAAATTTTCTCGCGAAAAACATAGATCTCGAGGAATATGCTCAAGTGATTTATCTTATCGATTGCGTCGAATAAAGATTCAAAGGAAGTGCCTTATCTCTTGTTCATTCGCCGAAGGCCATTGTTTACCGAGAGTCTGATTTGTCGAAATCCAATGTTTATCGCAATATTTTATTTAAAACGGAAGAAGACGGCATAGAAGTCAAGCGCCGTAATTGTACGCAATAAATTACCATTATTAACAAATTAATTTAATACATTGAATATTGCATGCTATTTCTTACATATTTCGGCTCATTTTTTTAGCCTTTTTCAGAGAACAGACGAAGATATAAATACTTTATTTGCTTTAAAATTAACTATTTAGCTCAGTGGCCGGTAAAAAAATTATCTCTCTCGCATCGTCATTTATGTTACACCGGATGTTTAGCGACGATATCGCAAATCCGGTGGAAAATCCCAGAAATCTTTCCGCGGTAGATTCAATAGAATTCGAATAAAGCAATAATGTATACATTTTACAATGTCAGTCAAGAAACAAGTCCGTCTCTCAGTCTTTAAGACGCATGTACATACATTAGCAATCCGCGTAATTATCATTCCCGCATTATCGCAACGTTTTATGTCTACTCTGTTTGTCTTCGTCTCTCGCTGCAACTAAGTGCGTTCTAATTAGCATAGTTATTTTACAAGGTTGCCAATACACGGAAGAAATCGTGGCACATGAAGGTCGATATCACGAGTTCAGGGGAAAGTCCGACTTCTTCCGACTTGCACCAGGCATTAGTAGAGCTCCAGATTTACAAGAGTAACGTAAACGACTTATACCATATATTTGACTCAATAACTATATGTTAAAGAATTACTAAGCGCTTTTTGATTGAATGATAAACTAATTAGGTAAAAATGGCAGTAGAAAGAAGAGAAGCAGCCAATAGAAAAAACGCGACTGTCGGCGGCTTTCTCCTTCAGATAAAAGAAATCTTCATAAAAAAAAAGATGCCATTCTTGTAAATCTAGAGCTCTAAGGCTGGTATTTACAGTCGATTCTCATATTTGAGTCTTTCTTCAGTACAGTCTTAAGATGTCATAAGCCAATCGGAGAGCACTGGCATTAGCATCTCAAGATATTATTAAGACGATTTTAGAATAAATAACCCCGCCATAAGTAAATCTTTCGATCTCTCATAATCTTGTGTTCGATAGACATCTTGTATTCACAACTTTACTTCGAAGAGACACATTCGATCCTTATTCCCACTTCTCTTCGTTGGAATGTTACGTTGCGGAATCCGTGCGTCACACAAAATGTCGCGTATGAACGCGTAATGTGCTAAATGTAGTATCGATCGTGGGCCGAACGTAGTCCCGAAATTCGTTACCGGAAGTGCAGCGCGTTCGGACTATCTGTGTTGCCGGAATATTCTGCGTACTCTTGTTATTAATCACCGCACCACGCTCGCTTCTTAATGATCGCTCGTCCGGCCTCGGGGCGCGAATATGCGCGCGGTACACACCGGTCCGGGCATTCCGAGCACTAAATATTATCAACGCGACGTTAATTATCCTCCGGTTAACCAACTGCTACTCTACGAATGACCGGGAGCCGATTCTCGATGATTTGCATCGATTAAGGCATCTAATAATATCCTCTTTTGTGTCAAAAATACAGATGAAAAAGAAAGATTATAAAAAAACACTGTGGACGATTTATTTTGTAATATAGGATAAATGTTTCAAAAATCTTTAAAATTAAGCGAGAGAGAAAAAAAGGTGAGTCGTGTTTGATTAAATAAAGAGTAACAGATCTCTATAATGAAGCGATATATAACGATACTCGAAAAATACAAAAGTTTGCGTTTGTTTGTCATTACAAAATTGTTGCAATTAGATTATCGTTGTAGTGGCTAATTCGGGAAAATTGGACATACCGTGTAATATGTATGTTTGATAATGTCATAATTGATTCGTGACATTAAATTATCGGTATCTGGATGATCGCCGACAATTGTACTGACAGAATAAATTCAACGGCCTTCGCATTATTATTGATTTTGATAGTATAGCGTTATTTTACAAACAGCTGAGCAATTAAACTTTCGTCGTCATTGATATATATTTTCGGCGATCGTACACGCGCTACTAAAAAATTCGTTTTAAAGGTCTTCGTATTGACAGTAAATTTTATGTACCCAAGATTTTAGGGTTTATAGATATCTGAAGCTATTAAATTGCACTTCTCCACCTTACATGTCCGTTTTTATTAACGAATATACCGGAAAAAGAGTCTGGTTACATTAATTGGAATTCTGGATAAAAACAGACAAAAATTCGAATTTCTTGAGAGAATTTAAACCGATGTGATTAGAATCTGGTTTGTTCATTTGTAACCAGAAATTTTTCTCGATGTAAAGTGGCTTTAATGTAAGTTTAACTTTTTCAAATCTTTTTTAAGAATAGATTAAACCGAAATATTAATCTACATTAGATAGAAATTGGACAATAATATAGAATCGCCTGAACTCCCTCGATGAAAGAGCGTTGTACATACATTGAGAAATATTTTTTAGCAGTGATGTACTAACAAGACAAGTTTGAGTTATTAGAATGTTCGAATATTAAAAATGTTGAAGTCAGAATTTACGGAAGTTACTATTACTATAGCGATATATTAATACTATAATTATTTTATTATAATAATGATTTACTCTGTTAAATATCTGTAGTGTGTTAAATATAATTTGACATTGATTTAGTATAAAATAACGATAAATTTAGTAGGAGCGGTGGCGGCGGCTCACATTGAGTTAAATTCGACACTACAGATTTAACAGTGTAACATTCTTATTTCGACAACACCAAGCGAACAAGTGTGGAACAATTTCTCTAGAAAGTCGATTAAAAAGCAGCATTGTTGCTTCAAACCCTTCAAAGCTGCGCTGTTTCAAACCTCCACTTCCGTAACGCGATGCATTAAAGGGACCGAGAATGGCGCAGTCGTGGTGAAAGTCGTAAACTACATTTCGCGAATCTGTGCCACGTCCGAGCGCGTTTTGCGGTGTGCACACACTCGGAGAGGACTAACCGGTAGGGTATGGTATAGTCGCACCCCTCGGGGCGCCTTACGAAAATTCGCTGGGTAGCGACGAGACACGGCGCGACGCGATGGGAGGGGAGGACGCGTAATGCATGCATGAAACATTTGCGACGCACACACGCGAAAATAACACGCTAGACACAGCACGCCTAACATGAGCGATCGGTTTGATCTGACAGATCGTTGCCTGTCCCCAGGAGGCATACTCCAGCCTATGGCTACACCCAACAACCGGACTTCAGGCTTCACGAGCTGAACAAGAGGTTATCGCAGCGCACGGAGGTGAGTACACTTTTTCCAATTTATTTCTCTTTTTTTCCGCGTTTTTTGCAATTTTTTTTTTTTTTAGTTTATACGTATGATTGCGTGTTTGTGATATTCGGGAGTTTAGCGAGTCTATACTCATCCTTCGTCGCGTCGGCCTTTCGCACGATTCATCCGCTGTCGCGCGCGCGCGCGCACGCATGAACGTATTCTTCGTATGTTCGATACGCAACCGATTCGATAAATTACTTACGATATCAGTCCCGTAAAAACGGAATAAAAAATTGAACGAGGTTGGATATACCCTGCAGATACTATATAAAGTCCATTGCGTTTAATTGTAAAATACATAGATACCGTTCCTGATTAAATTATTATAAAAAATCTTGTCACTCGCGGCATGCGGGGCCTAAAATTCCTGATACTTAATAGACTGCGCGATGGTTTTGCCAATTTTCCGATTACCGCACGAACAAAAAGGATGTATTTTTTTTTTTTTTGTGAAACCTGGAAAATAAATACTCCTTTGAAAAATATTCACGGTACTGAAATGGTCAGCGCGACGAAATTTACGGTATGCTTAATCGAATGCGCTATTTATCGCAATTCGAGATATCGTTATTTTGATAAAGGTTATTGCACGCCGTTTTGTTTAATCGTGTTTGCTAAATCGCTCGTAATTTTCGTTTGTTTCTATCGTTTGTATTGACCCAAAAAGCTTATATAATTTTGAAGCCAACTGTTCTGTCATGTTCACACGAGGAACATATCTAGAAAAATTTCAAGTCATATGTATTCTAATGGAATTATTTACAAGAAATGTTTAATATTCGCGGAGAGATTAACTAACGAAAACAATAGAAATAAACGCATAGCTTTGATCAGAGTTTACAATTGTTTCGCTTTCAGCAGAGACACAGGATCAATGGCAAATGTCCGAGTGTATATTTTTACCTAGTTTTTATCCGAAATGTACTATAGAAAGTCTTTTCCTTCGAATCTCCGTTCGCGGCTTTTTTTTTTTTACACTATAAAATTATCTGGCCCATATTCCACCGGCAGATAAACCGACCTCTTCTGAGAAATCCACGATAATAATGGCGATAAGATATGATCCATGGAACGCATTGTTGTTCGCGCACATGTCGTTCTATCCGCGTCGGGTCGATTTTGAACAGTTAGAAATTAATCGAGGCTACATGCGAAAGAAAACTGTATTTGTATTGCCATCGCGCGTCGTAAGTTTATTCTTACGACTGTTCGAAAAAAATTATGAATTGATATGTTTATAAAGTGATTAAAAGGAATAATTGAAAAGAATGACTTAATACCAAGTATTTAATTAAAATTAGCTTTAAAAGTGACAATAAGAATAATACAAAAGAACATTGTTTTTCATAACGACTAAATTATTCTTGAATATCGCAATAACTCAGAAATGATGAAGTGTTATAATGATTTTACATACAAATACAAATCTTTACGTTTTATCGTCGCTATTTGCATGCGTATTTCATAAGTACCACATACACGTATACTATACACGTCGAAAATTATTTTCCATCAATGAGGCGCAATTTACGACAGGCAGCATTGGCCATATATTCCTTTTTGAAGGTTTGATACTTCGCGGAGTAATGGTCAATATGTCATTAGGATTGAGTAATGCGAGAAAAAAAAAAGAAAGCGCCCGAGGTTAATGCGTTCTAATGAGCCTCCGCTTCTAGTACTGCGTTCATTAATCTTCGAGTCGCGGATGGACAACCGGTCTTCTTCCTTGGGAGGTCTCGATAAGCGGCCCGAATAAATTCTTCGGTTTCTGTCGTTAGCATCGCTTAAGAGTAGCAGCGAACGATGGTGGTAGACTGTCAGCGTCTCTCGAGATTGTGCGCGTGCCAACACGAAAAACTTCACCGCGTGTTTAGCTCTTGTTCGACGAGCTTTCGGAACGGAATTCTCACGATGGACACTTATTCATTGCGATTTATAGCTTCGTCATATACATAGATGTAATATTATTGTTTTATGTCCAACCAACTAAATATCCGAGTAAGATTCTCATGAGCTATCATTTTTCGACATCTTCTAATATCTCTTGTCAGTTTTAAAATTCATATAAATTGCACGTTCTCTCTCTCTCTCTCTACGAGAAAAATCCAATATAGATTTTTTTTTCTATACGCATCTCTTCATAAAAAAGACGATTTTGTTGAAGTACCTAAAAATTTAGCTATTAGGTACAGATCTGGAAACAATTTTATTTTAAAATAATTACGAAGAACGCTGATGAATTGCATCTTGACATTCTAGTAATCAATACGTGAACACTCTATATAATTATTTCGTAAGTGTATAATTATTTTGATGGGGAACAAAATTATTTTCAGATCTGTCATGTTTAAAAGTACAATATAACGTGTAGTTCTTGAAAGAATAGAGAGAGAGAGAGAGAGAGAGAAAGAGAATAGAGAAATTTTTTAAATATCTTCGATTATTTTGGAAACACTTTTCCGTTTCTTTCCTCACAATCGTAAATGCATAAGTCAGTTTGTTCAGTCGTGTCTGAAAAGTACGCGGGCGCGATTCGTAATGAAAGGAGACATTTTTTTCCTGGTCGCATTGATATACCACAACAATCATCTCGGCGAGTGCAGAGCTATTCGGGAAATTTCGTTTTTCTCTCTTTGGTCATACTCGCGCGCGACGCACAGGGGATTGGGCGTGTGCGAATTATATTTTGCTGGCACTAGCATATATGAAAACGAGAGAGAGAGAGAGAGAGAGAGAAAGGGAGCGCGTATGTCAATATATACGCATGTATACATGTGGACCGCATCGATCGTTACGACGCGCGACGGGAGAAAGAAAAGGTCAGAATCGAACCGGTGTATTGCAATTGCTTTTACTTATGCATACTCGAGCTATATATTCTGCGTACTCGACCCGAATTCACGTTTGGGCCGTCAACATAAATAATTATTGGGGTACCTTTTTTCTTCTTACAAAGAAAAATTCTTTTATTTGTTTCTTTAATCTTTTTTTATTCGCCTTTACCGCTGTTATTTATCTTTTTTGAAGCTCACGCCAATTTTAACTAATGAATTATGCGATCAGCGCAGCGGTTGAAATCCAACGGTCCGGATAGCGTTTGTGCGCGTTCAACAAGCAGAACGAAATCGCGTGGTGCGCGCCGGTAGATCAAAGCGAAATAAATTCTTCGTTAAAAAACATTTACATATACTATCGAAATATTAATGTACGCGTGAAAGTGGCGCCTCTCGGTAAAATTACGACGTGTCGTGTGGCGGTTAAAATGAGCGCAAAGAGAGTTAACGCACCCGCTTGTAAGCTCGCATTTATGCCACCTTTGGACGCCGCGCGGCGCGTTTCGACAAGCCAATCGGACACTCTTGCACACGCAGTGCCAGTTTTATTTTATGAATCGCGCCGACGGCGATTCCGAATGAGAAGCGTAAAAAAAAATGTTTTTTTTCCACCGCGACGATGTAACCGAAGCACCATTACGCCGCGGCCATCGGCCAAAGATTGCAAACCCCGTGCAATCTCTTTGCCCGAAACGAATCACCGGTCATCGTTTTTGCAGTAAACGTGTTGTTTAATTGTAAACTGGAGGTTGCGGTCAAACGCGTCCGCCGGGAAAATTGTGGGAAAATACGGTCAACGCGGCACGTTAAGCTCGAGGACCACAACACGAATTTTGCCGAAAAAAAAAAAAGTGTATTTCAAAGAAATCTCTATCGATATTTAAAAAATACTTCAATTACATGTAACGATCGAGTTATCGAAACAAAGAACAAAACTCTTTAATTTTCAGCAATCGCGTACACTGAAATAATAAAAGGAAAAAATATAATTGAATTTCTCTCGGAAATATCGCGGCCTTTCTTCGATCTAGCACGCGACCACGACGACCGGCTCCACAAACTGCATTTGTAATGATTGCGCACGTGAGTCACACGGTGCTCATGCGTTTTAACCTGTGCGTTCCGCGATAGGTGCGTGTACAAGACGCTTTTGAACACGACCGCGTGAAGTTGACAAGAGCAAACGAGGCATGAAACATCGTAAAGACAGCGGTCCAAATTTCAATGTTACAATCCTTTCAAACCGTGTCGGCCCACCTTTGGCACAATTTCACCTCCACCCTTCGTTCTAGTCTCGATCGCGCTTGATTAACGACGTATAATGTTTCAAAGTTAAACGAAATTTTATGCAGAAGATTCCAAAATTACACAAAATTTAATTCTTTAATTTGAACTCTTCTAATTTAATCAGCTATTTTTTTTTTTTCTTCTTTTGATGTGGACAATTAAATGTTTTGTGACAGCTCTGTCTTAAATTGTATTGAAAAAAAATTTAACGTTTGTTTAATTTTAATTTGAAAAATTGGAAACTTCTCGTTTATAATTGAAACTTATGAATGATTGTACACGTGCGTTAAAAATTGATTGATTCCGGTTTAGTCTCGGTCATTGCAACTATTCTATTTTTGTACGCAACATAGTTCTGTATTCTTAAACTTGCTACTCAGTCACACACATCCGTTCTTTTTCTTTTGTACTACTTTCTTGTACGACACACGTTGTTATCTATTTTTCTTTATAAGTTTTTTCTTTGTACGTTTTTTTGTTGCATTCACTATTTGTTGTGTGTATACTTATACATATCTCAGGTACAGTATCTTGAGGTTTACTGCTCTTTCTCTGCTTTCTCTCTCACTCTCTCTCTCTCTCTTTAAAACACGAAGTAAATTCTCTAGTCTTTCTCTACCCTCTATTTTGCCTCGTTTTCTCTTCACTTTTCGTGTTTTTCGTCCAGTCTCTATTCCCTCGCGCACGTGGCCACACGCGTGCACACGCACACGCCCGCGCACCCGTTCGCAAAGTTTAGCAAACGACATGGCGTGTCCTACGGTCATAAATCATCTTTCCTCGCGCTATCGTCGCATCTCGTGCGTTGTCAGCATGCGTTTGCAAGGTTCACCACCGTTTCTTCCG